ACAAGGATGCCTGGACAGTTTCTAGCTCTAATGTCCAGGACTGCACGGCATCAATACTTTAATACAGCCTAGGATTCTGAGCAGATCTAGCAGATATCCATGGATATATATCTTTGGATCAAGTCAACATCTTTAGATGATTTAAGACCCTGTAACCTCCAAAACTTTAAAAATGTAAGCATGTTGTTCCAGGTGTGAACAAGATTGACTTAAGATTCCTAATGTATAAAACAAGTATCTGATAGACATGAGCTGATGGAACATTAACAATCAAAACTCAACAGTAGGAGTTTAAAAGGAAGAGGAGCCATAAGGTCTGTGAATTTGGATGGGGAGGGCGGGGGGAAGGTGGAATGACACCTATATTTTCACTAACTTCTACTAGAAATTTAATGTTTCTCAATTACGAATACAGGCACCAAACACAGTAATAATAGTATTACCTGTGTTTTTGACTCTATCTGAAATTACAGATTTTATTATACCAAATTACAGTTGTTGCAGACATCTCAAAATATCACTGACATTTATCACTGCTTATAAGTTATGGTAGTTATTAAAACTGCCACTAGATCACCTGTGATTACAGTCGTCTCATCTGGTGTGATGAGGATGGACAACAATTTGGCAACTCTCCACTCTCAAGCAATCATTCAGCTACCAAATGGTGACATTCCACAGTGGTGATCCAGACATCTATGATGTTTCTTGGTATTTCCCACTTTTAATTGTTAATCAAAGACCACCCAAGTATGATGGTCTTATGCAAACTAAGCAAAAACAGTCTTCATGTTCCTGTCTTTAGAAAATAAAATCTAACTTTCTCATGTTTTAAATGAATGATCTTGTTATTTAATGTATTAATAAAAACGTACATATTATTATACCACAAGTTTGGTTTTTTAAAAAATCCTGATAACTGCACCTCAATGCAATTGGTATTCTTTGTAATGAAATGTATTTTAAGCACTTAAAAGACCTAAGGTGATCTAAAGCAGGAAGCCTCCATTTATTTACTCAATAAGTTAGTCACTCAGTCAGCAAGCATTTATTGAGTACTTACTAAAATATTAGGTTGAACCACCTACAATTCTCAATATTTGACTGTTTTTGACCTACCAAAATAGCAATTTCATACAGTTCAACCTAATACTTGTTGGGCCCAACCTATAAGACCACTAATAAAAGAGACAGTCATGAAGTAAAAGATCTTGAATCAGAAAGACTGATGTTTGAAGCAGAAGTTAAAATTTTTGTGAAGTGGGTAAGAGGCAGCACACAGAAAACAAAAAGTCACAAGAAGGCAAAGTGACAAGAGAGAATTATCCATTTAATTATCCTGAATGAGAATGACCCAAATATATCAAATCTCTATTATTTTCTATGATCTAATAGTGATGAGAAGCCTTTCCCCAAAGCTTTACTAATGCTTCAATAATTTTTTTTCAAATTACATTAAATAATGTAATCTTCTACTTTATAATAAGAAATACACTTTAAATTCAATATAAAATCCAATAAAAATAATGCCTTAACATTTGTATGGCACGTTATCATGTAAAAGTAATTTCATACACATTATTCTATTTGATCCTAACTATACCCCCCAAAACAGCCTGCGAGGGGCTTCCCTGGCGGCGCAGTGGTTAGGAATCCTCCTGCCAATGCGGGGGACATGGGCTCGATCCCTGTTCCAGGAAGATTCCACATGCCGTGGAGCAACTAAGCCCGTGCGCCACAACTACTGAGGTTGTGCTCTAGAGCCCGCGAGACACAACTACTGAGCCTGCGTGCTACAAATACTGAAGCCTGTGCGCCTAGAGCCCATGCTCCACAACAAGAGAAGCCACTACAGTAAGAAGCCGCGCATTGCAATGAAGGGTAGCCCCCAGCTCGCCGCAACTAGAGAAAGCCCACGTGCAGCAATGAAGACCCAACACAGCCAAAAATAAATAAATTAAATAAATAAATTGTAAAAAGAAAGAAGAAAAACAGCCTGGGAGATATCATCCCCACTTTTCAGGTTACATAGCACATGGATCCTAGTGGACTTATATAGAGAATCTTAAAAATTAATGTTACCTTTAAGCCAGATTCTCTCTTTATTCTCTGTGCAAGTAATAATTAATGTTAAAGGAGGCAAAACATCTAAGTGCTTCAAAATCCAGGAAAGCTAGGTCTGAATCTCAATTTATCACTCTCTGTGCATCCCTGAGGAAGTTCTTTGATATTTGTGGGGCTGAACTTAATAAAGTGGGAATAATAACATCTTTAGATTAAATGAGGTACAGCAGTTAAAGCTCTTACCGTCACCTATAACAGCTACACTTATCACTATCATTCATTTATATTATTATGAGAATCCAGCAATGAAGAAACTTGACTCTTATCTAAAAGAACTCAGGAAAGCCATGTGTCTCAACAGACTCAGCACAGGCTACAGAATTCTAATGTCCTGCTCCACACTTACTCAAATAACTTCTTTTTTTTTTTAATTTATTTATTTATTTATTTTTGCCTGTGTTGGATCTTCATTGCTGCGTGCAGGCTTCCGCGGCGAGTGGGGGCTACTCTTTGTTGCGGTGCGTGGGCTTCTTATGCGGTGGCTTCTCTTGTTGTGGAGCACGGGCTCTAGGCGCGTGGGCTTCAGTAGTTGCAGCACGTGGGCTCAGTAGTTGTGGCTCGCGGGCTCCAGAGCGCAGGCTCAGTAGTTGTGGCACATGGGCTTAGCCACTCCGCAGCATGTGGGATCTTCCCGGACCAGGGCTCGAACCCATGTCCCCTGCCTTGGCAGGTAGATTCTTAATCACTACACCACTAGGGAAGCCCTCAAATAACTTCTTATTATCACCATTCTATCATCCTAAAGGCTTTTGAGAAAATACCCAATGTCACAGAATTGAGAGACCTACTTTTCTTCAATATCTAAAAATTTCAAAATCTCCTGTTAGGAGCTCTTATCAAGAGTTGACTAAGAGCTACTACCTGCAACGTCTAGAGCTGATGTTCACTCATGAACCCAGAAACAGAGCCTTATCTCATTTCAGATAGCTGATGGTCACTCAATAATAAGATCTTGAATTAGACCATGTATGAAAACTAAAACCAGAGTCAGACAACACCAAAGGAAGGATATTGGGTAAAAGAGGATTTGAGTAAAAGAGAACTATTTTCCATCCTGAACGCAAAGGGTCAAAAGCAGGCTTGCTATTACTTACTCTTGGCTTACCGCCTCCTCATCCTCTGAGGATGATGCTGTTTCCTCCAGGTCCCGGGCCATCACGACTGGCATTTCCTTTAGAGTTTGTCATGCAGTCAGCAGACGGGGGCCTCAGAGACCTTTCAGATTCACTGGATCATACAATTTGGGTGGCACAGATTCCTGCAAGAAAGCCAAAAGACCTGAAACACAATGCAGTTGTCTTTTTGTTCATTACTGATGATGATCTTCCAAGTAATGAAAATGAATTATTTACCTAAATAGTGTCAAACCTCTAGAGGCTTACCTTCTCTCACAGTGCTTCACAAATGCCACAAAAATCAAGATTTTTTTTTCAAACATACTGTCTGCCCTCTGTATTTGAAGAGCTGCTGTGAAGTTTCAGTTTCTCGTTTTTCTTTTACATACTAAATCTAACGTGCAACAAAAGGATACACTTACTTAAGAAAGTCTGAGGTAGGTGGCTGATTGCCTAAAACATAGACTCCTTGCTAGAAAATCCTGACGTGAGTTAAAAATAAAAACGCAAGTATTAAGATCCTTGCAAACATTTCTTTAGATTCTATGCCAATCACAGGTAAAATACTCTCATGTTTCCGCTAAAACAAATTCAACCACTAAACCAAAAAATGAATATATTCTGCTGAATCAAGGTCATAAATAGCTGGGGAAAAAAAAACTGTCCTTTCACACTCTCAAAAATTATTCGCCCTTACTAAAAATCACAAACTATGATCCAAATATCAAATAGACATTAAAATTAGCATATTTCTAACTTAAAATATTTTTAATACAGAAAAGGTACATGTTCATTGCGTGTCTTTTTGGATGGAATAGAAATTACAGGTAAAGAAAATGAAAATGTTTTAATGACCATATTCCCATTACTCAAAGATAACCATTTAATGTCCATCTTTCCAAACCTCATTTTTCAATGCATTAATATATGTGATAAGAACGTAAATAGGGCAAAAAATGCCAATTCCGATAACGATCCTTACACATATTCAGCGAAATGGGCAATATCTAACAATCTCAAAGGCGTTCTTCCGAGTATCCCCAACGGGACCTCTCAGTATTTCCCCAAATGTTGCAAGTCCCTTAAATTAATACAAAACAAACAAAACCTCCAAGCGAGGAAGGGATGCCAACCAGTCCTAGGCTGCCAGCAGAGCAGGGAGAGACAGGGCGATCGGAAGAAGATTAAGGGCACTCGCCCAAGGAGCGTCCTCGCCCTAAAGGGATCGGGCCCTCAGTCCCACCCCCGGCTCACTCCAATCCAGGTAGGTCCTCAGATGCTCCCTACAGTAAGGACGCGGCAGACTCCGCCGCAGAGATTCAGCCCAGCGCGCCCGGAAGCCAGCAGCTGCTCCCGGACTCTGAGAGAGAAGTGCAGCGGATGGCGCCCGCCCAGACTTGGGAGCGCATCTCCCTCGGGTAGAGGAATGCGCTGGCGCAGGCGTTTACCTGTTTCATCTGCCCATGGCTCGGGGCGGGCAGGCGGGGACAGCGCTCGGCGCCTACCTCCCTCCTCCTTCCCCAGCCCGGCTCAAGGCGGCCGCCGACCGCTGCTTCCCCCGTTACTACAACAACCAACAAGCAACCGCCCGCTCGGAGCCACTGCGCAGGCGCCCGCCACCCGGCGCGGACAACGCTCGGCTTCGGGCGCGGACAATTGTCGTCACCGCAGCGCGGCGCAGGCGCAGGGCCCTGCTTTCCGCAGAAGTCTTGACTTCTTTTTTCCGCTCTTTTTACCTCCGCCGCAAAAAGATTGGCTTCGAACCTGGAGTTCTTCCGCCACGCTCAACACGAGGGGTCACTGCAAGAGTGGCGTACCGGGGGTGTGGCTTGGGCAGCGGCAACCGCTGATTGGCAGTGAAGGGGTTCACGCCCCATCTCCTGCTCGAGCAGAACGAGAACAGCCAATCAGAGCGAGGACTGATGGAAACGACCCAATCCTGGAGACGGGCTGAGAGTGGGGGCGGGGACAAGTGGTTCAGGTGGATTCAGGGCTGGAACTGTGCTGGGGAAGCTTCTTGCTCTTGCTGCTGCTGCTGTTCTTGGGAGTCCAATCGCTAGGTAAGGTGAATGTGGAGGAGAAGAGGTAGGTGTCTGTGTGGCATCTGATTGAGAGGATCCGGACAGTCTGGAAAAATGGATGTGGGATAGAAGGAAGATACCAGGGAGGCCACCTTGTGGGGGAAAAGAGGTTCCAGAGACCAAGAGAAGAGGGAGCTGGGAAGATGAAGAAGGCTGGATAGGTTCGGAACTAGTGAATGGATGAACGAATGAGCGGCCACTCTGAGCCTAGCACGGTGCGAGGAACCTTTACTTTCTCATGTAATTCTTATAATAACCCTTGAGATAGGTATTTTTAATCTCCATTTTGCAGGTAAGGAAACCTAGGCTGTAAAGTGTAAATTACTTGCCCACGGTCACACAGTTACTAAATGGTAGGGCCAAGAAAGGAACCTCTCACTGCCAACTCTACTAAACACCACACCTTTGCTGGCCTGGGCCAGGGTGTTGGATGCTCTAGGGGCCCTCCAAAGCTTTAGGGAAATTGTGCTGAAGGATTGGCAGAGCAGTTCAGAAGAGTGCTCAGGCTCTGTTCATCAGCTATCTGCTGGGGTTTCTGAGAGCTTCTGTGAAACAGGCATAAGTTCTGTCAAAGAGGGAGGCCATCCATGCGGCTTTTCTGACCCTGAGAGAGCCTGAGTCTCCTGCCGAAGGAGGGTGAGAAAACAAGGAGGATGGCAGGGGAGGGGAGTGTGCACATCTTGGCCCATGCTGTAACTGCCTGTGATTCCAGTAGAACCCCATTCTCTCTGGACTTGGACAGAGTCCACTTTTGTGACCCATTTTCACTGAGCAATTCACCCATTGACCCTTCCTCCTCTAGGGCTCTTTGTTTTTTGGTGCTTCACACTGTCTTGAGCCATTGCTGACTTTAATATCTGTTTCAGCTGGGTAGTGTAGGAACATAACGAAACATCTACTGCCGAAGTGACAAAGGAAGCCTGATAATTTATCGCCACTTCAGGCCCAAGAAATTAACCTGACAACAGATAAACCATGGGCCAAGAAAACATAACGAAGGTGGCAAGAAGCAATTCCATGATAAGATTTTTTTTATCTACATGGTTTTTACTTAAACCAAGCTGAGTGCTCAGCAAGGGTTGATCTAAGGTTTTGTTTTTTAAACAAAAAGTACATGACCTGATGGTATTTTCTATACAAGTTGAAGACAAGTTGAAGACAGAAGTGGCTGTGTCTTCCTCAAAAATGGAAACTTCATCAAAATATTCTCAAACAGTTAGACAGTCTTGCAACACATAGACCAACAGACCATGCTTCGTATCTCAGCTCTGCCATCTATTACTGTGTAACCTCAAGCCAGTCACTTACCTCTCTGTGCCAACCCTCATCTGTAAAATGGAAATATTAAGTGTATCCACCTTGTTTAAGGATTAAATGAGATAATATATGATAGGTACTTGGCACAGTGCATGGCATATACAGGTGGTCAATAACTGTTAGCTATTGTAATAGCTAACCCAACACCAACATTGCTGTTTCCTTCTCCATATGATTTTCTTACTAGTTCTCAAGTCACTGCAATTTATTTATTTTTAGATTGTTCTAGTTCACGGACGATGGTGTACCTGAGAACCACAGTAGAGAAAACTTAAGGATGTAAATATTGCCCTCACACCATAGATTCCACTCAAATGTACAAGGCTTTTCTGTGCTTGGAAGGATCTGTCACCAGTAGCCAGGCAGGTATCTGTTAGTAGATTTATAGTCACCTTTGAGCCACTTGCATTACAAAGGAATGACATGAAACACCAGGCTAGAAGTAAAGATCCCAGGGGACTGATTCCAGCCAAGAAAGAGAGTTCTGATTTAAGCTAATATTTTTGGAGAAATTCCTTAGACAAAAATAAGCACTGTGCTCCTTATTGCAAAGTATACTGTTGACTCACCACTATTAGTATGACTAAATATTGAGACCAATTTCTGTAAGTCTTACACCGAAGTCCATTTTACTTCTTTATAGTGATATTTGTACACCTCCCTTTCTCCTTTTCCCTTTCTTCTCTCCATTTTTTCCACTGGTTTTGTCATTTTTACCCACTGCATTATTTAGCGTTTTTCACTCTGGGTAAAGGTCAGCACACTTTGATTTAAGGTAGATATTCAAAGGCAGTGTGCGAACCCTGTGAAGGGTAACTGGGATTGGATGAGCCTCAGGTACTTGGAGAGGAGTTTATGAAATGATTGATCAAGTAAGCTTAGTACAGCCCTCATGGGTGGGACACAGGTTAACTACAGAGGAGAGTGAGCTTATGGTTGAAGTACACTAACCATCTGTTGTCTCGTGCCCTTTGCCTTTGTTTCCAAAGCAAAAACCCCTCTCAGATTTGAGGGGAGCCATGAGCCGGTTCCTGAATGTGTTACGAAGCTGGCTGGTTATGGTGTCCATCATCGCCATGGGGAACACGCTACAGAGCTTCCGAGACCACACCTTTCTCTATGAAAAGCTCTACACTGGCAAGCCAGACCTCGGTAAGAAAGCAAAGACCTTCATCCTTTGTGGGAGTGGCTTAAATTGTGGTTCCCACGTCTGGCTATACATTAGAATAACCTAGAAAAACTAAAATCAAACAAAGCACAGGTGGCCATTTCCCTCTCCAGACCTACTTACTGAACCTTTCACCCCCTGGGTGGGGCCCAGGAGTCTTTTTTAAAAACTTCCCAGGTGAATCTGATGCTGCCTAATCTAGCCTTAGGCAGCCAATAGAGTAAGAGATGTGGTGAATAGCACTTGGTCCTTTCTTCCCCCAAGCTCCTCTGAATACCTTTTCATTCATTTTACACTGCCCTAGGTAGCTAGTCTGTACAAAAAGCATTACAAGGGCAAGTGAGGAAACAGTTCCTTGGTGATTCTGTGGTGCCCGACTAGAAAACCATAAAGAAGCTTTTCATATTAGCTCAGCCCCCTTTCAGAAATCAGATCGTGGCGCACATGGTTTATACCCTATGTTGCAGATGGAGAATTACTAATCCAAGGTCTTCTCAAACCTTGACATAGACCTGAGAAGACATCCCAAATCCCTCCAAGTTGGTCTCCCAAATTGAACTTCCGCGGGCGCATGGCGGCCTCTCCCAGTGTCCTGAGCCTCTCTGCTGAGCGTGTCTGCACACTTCAGCTTGCACTTTGTTGCACTAATGTGTGGGGAGGCTTGAGCTGCAGCACCATTTCACAGTAGCTGATAATTCTGTGTCACATTTATAGCTAACCCAGATTCAGGCTCTGACCTAACTCATTTTTCTGTAATATCTGAGTATAAAATGAAACTAAGTAGGCTAAGGCTCACTTTGAACAAATCTCAAATACAATGGGTGTAAAGAACCTGGAAAAGTGGGCAGGACAGTTCCACTTTTCACCCTCCAGTGCAGTTCTCAGATGCTCCAGGAACCCTGTATAGGTTCACAGGGTTTAAAGGATGTCTGGTCTAGCCCTTTGAATTTAAAGTTGACACAGAGAAGCCCAGGGGTAGAAAATGCCTCCTCCCTCATGACCTGGGGACTGTCCTGGTACTTTTCTGATCATAGCAGGACCCCGGAGCATCCCGTTCACCTGATGCCTAATTTAGTTAGGGTTGGTGAGATATTCCACTTCTGTATCTCACTCACTAGAGGAATTTCCTGCCTTTTAATCAGAAGAGCTATCAAAATGCTTTATAAAGAATGTTGCCCTCCAGGGCTAACCGTTAGATATTTGTTTGGTATATGGAATTTTTTCTCACCTTACTACTATCTAAAGGTCTTCAAGGTTGTGAATTTGGTATTGCCGTCTGGTTTCCCAAAGGCTGAAAAATCCTTAAAGCAAAATCCTGAAAGACCTTTCAGTTGTCAATGTTGTCCCTGAAAATTTCTCTTGCTCAGTAGACCAGCAAAGAATGTATCTTTGCTTTCACCGTGTTGGTATTCCCCCTCCCCACTACTGGATGCCTTAGATCAATGCCGGTACAGTAATACCTCCAAGGCCAGGGAGGTTTTAGAAAATACCAGGTGGGCCCTGGGCCCACCTCCAGAGTGTATGATTTAACTGTTCTGGTACCCAGGTCGTGGTAGTTTTATAAAATGTCTTCAATTGATGCTAATAAACGTCCAGGGTCAAGAAGCACTGTTACGATGGACTGTGATGCATACTCGGGACAATACAGCAGTGCCAGGATGAAGCTAGCAAAAGCAGCGTGGCCCCAGCAAACGCCAAAGAAACAGTGCTTTGTTCCCTTCCCACATGCACAGGAAACCAGCCTGGTTAGGGCTTCGTTCACATAAGATTCAGCAGACCCAGGGACTTGGGTCTCTTAAAGACCAAGTGTGGGCATCTAGATGGAGCCCAGTATTGCTGAGTTATCTCCTGTATCAGCCTTGAAAGTCTGCTGACCTCCTAGGCATCTTGTATTGACAGAACCACTCTCCACCACGTTTCCCCAAACCTGTCCGGATCCAGGTTCACTGGGCTTCGCCAACACCAGAGCGGCTTCCAGGGCAGAGCCGTAAACTACTGCAACCAGGAGTTACTGCCTAAGTGGGCTGTCTGTTGGGCTCCTACTCTTGGAACTCGCCCACCCAGCTGTAGGCGTTTGAAGAGGAGCTGAGCCAGTTCTCATTCTGGAACTCTTTCCATTCCTTCTAGTTCCCATGTGCAGCACCAGAGCCTCCTCTGTGCCCAGCCAAGGGGAGTTCAGGCCTAGCTCCCTGCCCCCTTCAGTGAAGTAGGAAGAGTTTGGAGGGAACCCTGACCCTCCCTTCTCAACACTCTTGCTTTTTTCTGCTGCACAGTGAATGGCCTCCAAGCTCGGACCTTTGGAATCTGGACGCTACTCTCATCAGTGATTCGCTGCCTCTGCGCCATCGACATTCACAACAAGATGTACGTAAGAAAGGGAAGAGCGTTAGCTGCCTTCTGTTGGAAATCAGGTGCTAAGCATACACACTGTGGTCCTCTCTTGGAGACCCGTTAATTTTGATACATTAGCCTTGGATGTGGATAATAAAAGGTTAATAGGTTCCATTCCTTCCAGGCCTAAAAAACATAATAGGCCTGAAGGTCTTTAAAGTTTGAAAATTCTTTGAAATTGACATAGCAAACTGGTTATGTCATGATCCAGTAGCCTGCGTCATACCCCTCTACTTCTTTACTAAAGAGTCAGCCTTTCTTTTACTTTCTTTTACACAGGTAGTGTGCTCTTTTTAGAGAGGCCATGACATACCTTATTCTTACATTCCTCCTTGAGAAGCAGGAATGAACAGAAATCACAATCCATGAAAAAAATGAGCCCACAAGTTAAATGGTTGTATGCTTTATGCAGAGTCAGGAGGTGGGGGTGACAGAGAACCCAGGACTCCTCTGTATTCTGCCTCTTCAGGGGACTCACATGGACTAATGTGGAACAGTTGCAAGCAATCACAGCCTCTGGTCTAGATAATGTTGTAACCCGTGCCGGCCACTGGAGGGGGCTCGAGCTTTCTTCCCAACAGCAGTCATCACCACAGTCAAGGTGGAAAGTTTGCTCAGGTCCCCAGGTGAGGCCACCAAAACACCAGCTTCATACTATTGTCTTACCGAGACTCTCAGCATCTGGGCAAGAGAGGAGATAATGATATTTATTGAGCCCCTCTTATTATGCCAGATGCTTCCATCCACATGGCCTTGATGAAGTCTCCTCTTAGTAGCCCTGGGAAGCAGTGATTTTCATTGCTGATTCTGTAGATCTACATATAAGAGACCCAACTAATTTAAATTGAGGAAGACTGACCCAAGTAGGATTTGAAGCAGGGCTATTAGCACTGCGATCTCTCCAGCTTTATTTTTTCATATTTTTGAACCTGAAACTGGTGTACTTGTTCTAGATTGACACGTATTTTTGGAAGCAGTGCAGTGTAATGGAAACAGCCTGGGGCCCGAGAATGAAAACAAGAAAATAGGCTCCGGTTTCAGTTCTATTGGTAACTAGCTTTGTAGCAGCAAGTGCATTATAGATCTTCTCTGCATCTTGGTCACTTCATGTATAAAATGAGACTGGTATATCTGTTCTGCCTCTCAGGGTGATTGGGGGGAAGTAAGGGCTGAATAATCATTTTAAAGGCCTTTACCATGATGAAGAACTGCTGTCAAGTATAAGGGGTATGTCTTTTGCTCGCTGTGCTTTGGGGATGAGGAGAGACAGCTGAGACTTACCTTTACCTCTTTACCCTTTCATTACCCCTTCACTCAACACAGGACAGCTGCAAATGCTGACTTCTGTTTCCAGCATGTTTTGAAAGCCCGGGACTTTGGTCCAAGACCTTCTGATATGCACTCTGATTCTATTCCCAACCTAACTGGAAACTCAAAAGCAACTCCCAGCTGCTCTCACTCTCTGAGACAGTCTGTTCTCAGAAATTCTGCCTATTTAATGTGTATATCTCTAAATAAACCTGCTTTCACTTAAAAAAAAAAGACAACTCCCATACATACGTATTTACTAAGTGTCTAAAAACATGCACAGGAATGATAAAAATCAAACTTAAGATATTCCTTCTGGGGAAAAGGAGGCAGAAGAATGGGATCAGGGCGGGAAAAGGATACACAGGAGGCTTTAACTGAAATATGAATATTTTATTTCTTAGAAAAAAAGTATCTGAAGCAAAAATGTCAAAATATTCAGATTTTTTTGTATATTTGAAGTATTTCATAATTTTTAAAATTTCTTAGTTAAAAAAAAGGTACCAGCAATCTAAGTGGTCGGTCATCCTCTCTTCTCCACCTCCTTGTCAAAGCCGAGGAACAAGTCCTCTTCCCATGAGGGTGTCACTGTGTCCTCCATCTGACCATCTTGCTAGGTTAAGATGCAAAATATCCACCCCACGTTGCAAGAGCATCTAAAGGCCCCAGAAAGGTCCTTGCTACCCTTTCCCCACACATGCCCTTCGTTCTATGGCATCCATCATGTGAGCACTGACCAGCCCCTGGCCAAACATCTGCCACGCGGGCTTGGACTAGAGTCAAGCCAATTTGAGTAAGTAGAGTACGTAAGCATGATTGGTCCAGAATTGTCTACAGTGCCTAGGATTGCCATACTGCAGACTCTGCTTTGCTATTGCTGGCTTCACCACCTTGCTAAGTAAGACTTGCAGAGGCCCTCTGGTTGCCTGGACCATTCCCCTCTCAGTTTGGCAGTTGAAATCTTCAATTTTGCCCTAGATGTGAATAAATTGATGTGATCAAGCAGCCAGGTCTTTCCCAGGACCAAGTCTCCTTTTTCTTTAGCCATAGTCATTTCCTGGGTTTTGATTTGTGTGTTTCAAGTCTGATCACTGCTTTTCCTCTGCACTGAACAAGCTGTACCTTCAGTCCCGTTTCTGTCTGCTCCGCTGTAGGCTCTACCACATCACGCTCTGGACCTTCCTCCTCGCCCTGGGGCACTTCCTCTCCGAGTTGTTTGTATATGGGACCGCAGCTCCCACCATTGGCGTCCTGGCACCCCTCATGGTGGCAAGTAAGCATCCAGTGACCCTAGAACTCCTGCAGGAGCTGTCCCAGCCCTAGGGACGAGCCTCATACAAGCAGTGTAAGAAAATGCCGTGCTTATGTCAGCCACTAATCTTGTCTCTGTATTAAGGTTTCTCAATCCTGGGAATGCTAGTGGGGCTCCGGTACCTAGAAGCAGAACCAGGATCCAGACAGAAGAAGAGAAACTGAGGCCAACATCACCACGTCCGAGACTTCATCTTCCACCTTTGCCAGCCTCTTCCTTCACCCTCTTTGCTCTTAAATTTCTTTTCTGCTCCATCTTCCACTTCTAGGCCTTTCCTTTTTTTTTCTTTAATTTAAAACGTTTTAAGATATTTAAATATGCCTACGGCAAGTCGGTGCCATTTAAATGTATGTACCATTTAAAGAATCATTTGAAAGTGAATACTCTGTCCCTCCATCCAAATCAAGGAATCGCAGGCACATCCGAAGCCCGCTGTGTGCCCTTCCCCCGCCCGCAGCCTCTTCCAGGGCCCCTCTTCCGACCTTCTGCTGTCTTCCTTTTATTTTCACCCGACGATTTGACTTGTATGGTGGGAACACGTGAACTGCGAAACTTAAAGCTGCTGGCACACCCACAGCAGCTGCCACCAAGGGCTGCTTCGAGGGGGTGTCGACCCACGTGGGGCTCCTCTCTGCTGCTGGACCCAGGACTCTGAGCCATCCAAGGGACAGGCGGCTCTTCTAAGAAGAAGGGCTCCCCTGCAAGTGAGCATGGCTCCTTACCCTTGTGCCTACAGGCGGATCAGGGTTGGAAGAGTCTGGGCTGTTTTTAGACCTTCCGGTCAGCTGTATTTGTGTAATGAGATTTGTAATAAATAGAAAAACCGTCTGCTCTGATCAGTCCTCGTACTTTGGCCTCCCCTAAGCCCAGAGCACTCCTGCCCCTCGTCTGAGGCCTAGCAGAGGAGAATCACAGCTTTCTGCTGGTCAAATATACCATGGGTAGGACAACTCAAGACTCAGGCAAACCTGGCTGCCTTTTGTCCCTTGCTCATTTCTTGGGAAGTCAAATCTTCCTCCTCTCCACCCCCACCTTAAAGATTCTGAGTTCACAGCTGAACAGCCAGGACCCTCTCTTGTTTTCTTCCCAAGGAAGAAACAGATTCTTGAGAAAGCAGAACCAGGCAGCATAGAAGAAACAGCCGTATGATCATGAAAAGAAGAACACTGGGGCCCAAGGACAAGGCACTGGAGAAGACTGCTGCCATCCAAACACAACCAAGTGTTTATTGAACACTTCCTGCATGCCGGACACGTGGGAAAGACAGATGAACGACCCAGGCAATGTCCCTGTAGTCAAGGAGACAGAGACAAGACTATCAACAAGTCCATACCTGAAAGAACAACTCCAGACAGTGATAAGAACTCTAGAAAACAAGGTACTGTGATCAGGAAGGGGAGGGAGGTGCACAACTTAGATCATCGGGAAAAGCCTCCCTGAGGAGTTGGGATCTGAGTTGAGACTTAAATCGCAGGGATCATATGTCTTAAGATGTGAGGTGGGCATTTAGGGCAGAGGGAGCAGCAGCTAGTCTTGCTGAAGGACTACAATCACTGTAACTACAGCATGGTGAGGTTAGGGAGTGGAAGATAGGAGATGGAAGGGAGGCAGGGGGCTTGTGAGCACCTGACAGGAAGCTTGAAGTTGATACTTCAGTTGGGAATTCTCAGTCAGTTAAGGCTCTTTAGGTGAAAATCTTCCCTAACCTAGCTGAACTAATAAAGGTAACATTGGCTCACAAAACTGAAAGGATTCCAGGCTTCAGGAATGGCTTGATCAGGACTGAGCTCTATTTCTCTGGGATTCTTTTGGCTCTACCCTCCTACATTGGCTTCATCCACAGGCTGGCTTCCTTTATGATGATTATGGTGCCAAAAGTGGTTGTTACGATTCCAGGCCTCACGTCCCCACCTGGAAAAACAGCTCAGTGTACGAACCATCTTTCCCTTACCAGCTATTGTAGGAGGCAGTAAGAAAAGGAATGATCTGACAGAACGTTAACGTGAGTGGAGGTCCACAGGGAGCCCACCTAAGAAAGGAGTGAATGAAAGCATAAGAGTATGTGGATCCTCCAGGCATGCACCACAGAAACATGATTCCAGATAAATAAAGACAAGATCCCGAAGGATCTAAAGACATGATACAGAGTATTGGCAGACGCTGTGAGTATAAGATTTCTCTAACAGCCCAGGCTTGGCTCCCTTCCCAGGTGGTTTAAAGTGGAATCACAGTGTTGTCTCTCCACCTAAGAACTGCTAGCAGATACGCAGCCAGAATGCCACAGACACAGTGCAACTCTCTAAAGAAGAAATGTGCAGGGAACTGATCGCTGCAGCCCACTCACGTAACACACATAAGGTAAATGCAATCACAAAGGGAAGAGTGGCAGGAAGGGGGACGATTCAGAAGAACTGCAAATGACAAAACTGGATCCCGGCCAGCGCGACCTGGTGAGTGACTGCTCTGATTATAGAACAGACATTCCAGCCACCCTTTGAGGCAGAGCCAGAAACCACAGTGGGCTCTCTGGGCAGCAGGCACACTCAGGTGAACTGTCTTCCTTTGGATGCTGTAGGGAAAGCAGTCCCCGTCACATGTCAGACGTTGAGTTGCAGTCCCCCACAAAGGCCAGCTGTCACCCCTGCAGCCTCATCTTTTAAAAGTCACCCACTAGGATGGCAGTATCTGTGTCAGCAGAAGACCACCTTCCAGGGTACGGAGGCCACGGGAGCACCTCCTCTACCCCGAGCCCCCACCCCTCCAGACCGCTCCCACCACCAAAGCCATCTCTGCCCCAGTACATGACAAGGCAGACCACATGGAGAATCTTTTATTGCCTTAAAACATCTGACATTAACAAGTAGAAAATACTAATTATGTTTTTTAAATAAATCAATGGTTTCAGTAAACATTTTGTTGATACATTTTAAGGGGCTGAAGAGTAAACACTTTCTCCTTATCAAAAAGTAAGGCGCTATCACTCTCCAGCTCCCCTCCGCCCCTACCTCAGTCCTCCCACCAGAAGTGTGAACTTCTTTTATTATGTACAGAATATCTGTACACACACACACACACACACACACACACACACACACACACACACACACCTGGCTCCCCTCGGGCAGTGGCTCAAGCACCCCAGCGCCGCTGCCACACAGGCTGCTCCAGTGTGCTGAGGCCAGGGCAGCATAGGGGTCATGATCACGGAACTCAACGCACAGGAGAAATGACCAAGACGTCTTAATTTTGGAAATACTACCCAAGCCCGCGAGTAGAGCCAGACAGCAGGCAAAGCAGGAGAGGTCAGCTAGGGCTGGGTGAAGGGGAATCTTTAAATTCAGAACATCTGAGAAAAAATTATTGCTATTAAAGAAGGGGGTGAGGGGAGAGGTGGGGATGCAAATACTGTCCCCATCAGAGATGGAATGCACTTATCTAACCCAGCAGACCTGAGTCCCGTTCAGTGGCCACCTTCTGCCCCTTTCATCTCTCAGAAGCGTTTTGGAGTTCGCAGGGGGGAAGGTATCCAGGTTGGTTTTCACTAACAGGTACAGGCAGTTGGCTGGGCTTGCCCTCCCTCTGGAGAACACGTGGGCAGCGTCCAGATGACAACAGCAGAGGTGACAGTGACACACACACAAGGCCCTAGGCCAGGACATCTTTTGTAGAAAAGAAACTTTCCATTCCCAAATCGTTTAGGGACCAGAGTCCCCAAATTCGTAAGCACCCTCACATCCCGAGAAGGTCAGCTCTCTGAAACCAGCTTCTCCTTCACAGCCACAGCAAAGTTTCTGTCAAGTTTACTGATGTTTGGTTTGATCAGCTCTTGGGAAAGAGGGTTTGGAGACAGACGCCAACGTGAGCCGGGAGAACCTGGTCCCAGAGTCCTGAGGGGTTTGTCCTGATGGTGTTTTCTCTCCCACAGAACGTTAGCGGTCAGTCTGGTGGCCCAAGAATGACCCTCGTCCAGAGCAGCTGCTGCTCCTTAGAACTGGGCTCCTGAGGGTCTGAAGACACTAGGAAAAGTTAACCTCCGGAATAAGCTTTCTTTCCGTGATAATTTGCAGGCTCTCTCCCGAGGGATGGGGTGGAGGGAAGGCAAGGCAGCCGGCCAGGACTGACTCCAGGATTCCCTCTGCCCCTGCCCACCAGCTCCCAGACCTACGTGGGGGAGGGGTGGGGGAGGGGCGGGGAGCCGATCGGCACGTGGTGAAAAGTGCAGTCTCCCCCACGCAGACGACACCAGCTCTGCGGTGGGTTCCAGGCGGAGGCACTGCCGTCCAAGCCACAGCGATGCCCCCTGGTTCCCTCCAAAAGCTGCTCCGGTGAAGCCCGCGGTACTGGGAGGGAGAGCTGTGCTGGCTGAAGAGGTGGGCGTGGTCCGTGTTCCCTGAGTCTCACCACCTTTCTCTCTCAGAAGTGCTCCTCCAATACACCAGTGGGGGCTTTGCTGGTTTTGCTCTCGTCCTCCTCCGGGGGTTTCTACAAGGCAAACAAGTGGGCAGCCCTTGAGGTGAAGAGGCAGGGACTCCATCCCGACCGGAGCATCTGCCTGCCAGGGAGTCTGTAATCCGCGGGGAAAACCAGAGTCTCAGGCACTCAGCACCCCTGACAGCGAACAAAGGGAACAGGAACAGAAGCTCCGGCCCGGCCACAAGTGTGCTCCTCAGACACACACACCATCACGACAGAATCAAAGGAAGCACAAGAAGGCAGCTTTCTGTGACACCGCAGCCACCACGGGCCACCTCACTGCGAGTGCCACTGAGTTCTGCTCACCCTTCTCCCCCTTCTGACAGCCTCAGCCCACCTGGACGGACCCCCAGGCGGCTGTGC